CAGCCAGCGATGAGGACAGCCAACACTGCTTCTTAATCGTTCAGCCGGCATTGAATTGTTAAAAACACAATCAGCGCTGAGGACGGCCCATGCTATTGCTTGAACACAGCTGATGCTGAGTTGCTAAAAACACAACCGGTGTTGTGCTATCGCTTGGGCACAGCCAGGCACACAACGGGCACTAGGTTTGTTGAAGCACAGCCGATGCTAAGTAACTTCGACCGCATAGTCAGTGCTAGGTATGGATTAATATTCGAGCCATGACCCGAGCCCAACCTGATCCTGGTCTGTGTTGCGTGTCTTTTGATGAGGCAACAAATGAAACTTTTACCCAGGCCTCGATTCAAAAGCCAGACCTGGTCCTAGCTTCTTTATTGGGGATTATACAGGCGGTGATGAGACTTGCCTCGGGCCTCGGGTCAAAGCCCAACCCGGCCCATCGTCGTTTGTCTTTCCAGGGCACGACTGGAATTCTCAGTTTGTGAGGGGCGTTTGAGGGTAGTGTTGGCTATATAAGGGGGTAAAACCCCATTTTCCCAACTTTTCACCGAAGGTAAAAACTTAAACAAAATTTTTAACAGTGAGCAAAGGATTCCCAGTGGAAATTCCGACAAGCAGGGGGATTTCGGTAAGAGATTAAGTGTTCTGATAAGAGATCAAGTGTTTTGGCAAGCCAAGGACAAGTTTTTATTGGAGATTGGTGGAGTTGCAGGAGTTTTCAGTTTAGCACAGGGGGTTTTTCGGGAAGCTTGAGAACTCCGACCGTGGTCTTCAAGGCTAGAAGAGGCAGGAACTACAACAGTGGGCATTTTTACAAGTTTTGGGAAGTTTTTCGGGGGCTTAGAGGGAGTTACCGAGGGTTTCCCAGTAATTTAGGGAAAGTTGTAGAGGTTTCCTGGCAGTGGTTTTGTGAATTCCTGGCCAAGGCGTAGCCAGGGAAAGTCTCCTAGTGAGTTTTCGACCGGAGGCCGAAGGCTTAGGGAACGAACCATCGCAGGAGGTGAACAGTCGCAAGGTAGGCAAACTGTTGCAGGGGTTTTCCATCAACGACAGGGGAGTTCCAACTAGAAACCGAAGGGTCGGGGGAATCAAACGGTTATTGAAGGTGGGCCGTCATAGAGAAGGCGAACGGTTACCTCGTTCGTGTGTCAGGTGGCGCAAAATGACATGGCGACAGTTGGCATTCGCTCGTGTGTCAGGCAGCGCAGAAGGATGTGGCGACGGTTGTCAATCGACGTAGCAAGGCTCAAGGTGACATGCGTAGAATCCATGGCACGTGTGAGAATTCTGAACACAACCGACACTAGACGTTGGCAAACACAGACAGTGCTGAGCATTGGAAAACATAGCTGACACTAAGCATTAGCAAGCTCAACCGATGCTGAGCGTTTTCAGACACAGCCAGTGTTAAACTTCAAGCGCACAGCTGACGCTAAGCGTTAGCGGACACAGCTGGCATTAAGTTTTGAGTGCACAGCTGGCGTTGGGTCTCCTCAAACACAGCTGGCGCTAAGCTTCTGAAGTCACAACCGGCGTTGATCCAGTGCCTTAACAGTTTTGATTTAGGAGTGAATCACTGAGCCCTTTTATAATGATCGATTCTTCCTACCGAATTCCTGATGTAAAGAAGCTTCCAAGGGGGGGAAAGATCGGCACCCATGATTGTACCGGTGAGGCTCTATCAAGGGGTGAGCCCATTTAGCTGACCAAGGCAGTATGCAGACTAGAGTGGCCTCTCAGTGTCACTTTCATTATCGACCCCGTTCGTTTTGAAGTCCGCAAGGGTAATGACGGTAATGTTAGTATTGAAGAAGGGGTGGCACTACTTCATTGTATACACAGGAACATAGCTTCTGGAGAGAACTTGCCTACCCTAGGGAAACAAATGATACAGGCAAAGGGGCTACTAATGTGGTGAGAAAAAGGCCTCCGAATTCAGGGGGAGCACCAATACTTGAAGGGATACTCTTCCTGGACCACCAAGGTGTTGGTGTAGCACAAAAGCACTCTTGAACATGCTTCTTATTAGCCACGGTCCAGTGTTCGGGCAGCTACTATGATCGGTGCTCCAATACTGTGAAGGTATTACTGGAGACATGGAGCCATGTTAGTAATACCTGGTTTCTTGGGCATGGGGAAGAAGGAATCTCTTTGCTAGATCTTCATTTTAATGGGGGCCTTCCGATAATCGGGGCTATGTATGGCGAGTTCGTGCCCCAGAACTCAGTCATCTTTGATGGTGCTAAATTGGGGGATGAAGAGTCGCTTGCCAGTCTTCAAAAGATTTTTGTTGCCAAGTCTAGCAACGGTCGGGTGACCTTCACCAAATGGGTGAAATTCTTTTGTGGTTACTGTCCCGAACGTGGTCAGGGTACTCCGAGAGGGAAATGGAAGGCAGTTGTGAAGGGGACACCTCTCGTGTATCAGTCTGAGACCAATGATAAATGTGTCTTCTTGGTCGTGTATTTGGCCTTATTTTTGTCCAAGTTCATGCTCCCTGGATGGGCAGACGACATTCGTCTAGGCGTATTGTATGTGACCTGCGACATGGTAAGAGGGCGTGAGTATGCCCTTGTTCAGCCAGTTTTGTGTAATATTTACCATGGCTTGGGGGGCATCTCCCGTGGAAAGGCCTACAAATTCAAAGAGGGAGGGAATGGCATTGTAGGAGGAGAGACATTTCCTGGGGATTTTAAAACTCCATTCCTCGTCCATTACTTGTACGGGTGGTTAGGGGCCTATTTCCCTGACACTTATGTCAGGCACCAGGGCTCAGGAGGTAAACTGTGGCCTTTCTTGACGAGGATTGCCAATCAAAAGGCCATCTTCCATACCTCAGGGGAAGCTCAAAGTTTATTTAGGAATGACTCTTTAAACATGCGACGGGTCTCATTTCTGGTCGGTAGCTTCATCGATTGTGCTTTCATTGATGACTTGGGGAAGGAGTTAGACGGCGCTCCAACAACCATTAGAGAGTTCATGTGCATCCTGAGCATTAAAGGAGGAGTTCTACCTTATCGGACACTGCACAATGCCAGACTAGAGGGATATTTCCCCCACCGCTTCGCTCGTCAGCATGGGCTTGATCAAAGCTGTCCCTTCTACGCGTTTTTCAAAAAGCACTGAAGCAACGTGAACACGGGGAGAACATAAGAGCTTGGGACTCTCCTCGAATGTTAGCTGTCAGAACACATGTGGACCGCTTGATCCACATGTCTGGAAATGACAGAAATCAGCAAGTATGTGTTACCTCACTTCGGTAGGAGGGTCCGAATGACTAAGGCTTATGCAAACTGGTGGAGGATTACTAGCAAAGGATATTGGAATGCTGATCACCCCTAAAAAGGGGAGAATAGTAACTGGCGCCAGGATATCAGGTAAAGGCGACAGGTGTATACCCCAGCTCCTTGCACGGTATTTGTCTTAGAATATCCCTCTAACTGGCAAGCCTTAGGGCTTTCGCACGAGATAGCAGCTGATGAAGCCTTGCCGGACTTTCTTGTGATCAAATAGAGAACTAGGAGTATCTTTGATAACCTCAGTTCCATATTTGAATGGAGTGAGGGCCGACAAGTCCTTGGTTATGAGAGGCGTCCCACATAGGACTTGAATGCAATGATCAGGAGTGGTCCCCACAGTAAACTGATTGAGGGCCCTTCTTAAGGAGGGAGTTCTGAAGCGGCCGGTCCTTCTTCGGCAGGGGGAAAGAAAAGAAAACGCTCGACCACTGCCAACACTCGTGCACCATCTCTAGTTAGTGGGTGTACTCGAAGGTGTAAGGGTGTCAACCTTCCTGTGATGTCAGAACCAGGAGGTAGCTCTTTCTCCTCTGATCTTTTAGCGAGTCCCCCAATATCACCTTCTACACTTTCTCCACCATCTTCTGCCTCTCCTGAATTGTTTTCTTATTCTTCAGAGACTGAAGTAGACAAATCCGGCCCTTTGAAGCCCATTATTATTGCTTCTGACCAGGAAATGACTCCAAATCTTAGGGAGGCACCTCTGAGTCCAAGGGTAGTTCCTGAGTCCAAGCCAGCTCTGATGGAGACTGACAAGCAACTGCTTCAGGAAGGGGCTCTGATGCTGATGTGGCTTCCGTGCATTAGGAGCTTAATGCCCCGACCTAGGCAAGGGCTATGACTCAAGAAGAAGAGCCTGTAGTTAATGATGCCCTTGAGCATCAAGCAGCTGCTGCCTTTGGGGGAATAGATGGTGAAGACGAAGGGGTTGAACTTTTTGTGGCCGGGGTCCTGGCTGTTGAGGGCACCAGCCAGATGGCGGGAACTGTTGCTGAGGCTAGATCAGTGATCAATGAAGGCCATAGTGAAGAAGCAACCCCTAAACTTACTAATACTGATGTGATAGTTCAGGAGGGTGAAGATCAAGGGGGATAGGTTTCTTCAGAGCCTGCTAGGACAGAAGTAAAGGCCCCCATAAGCGAGGGTCAAGGCGATGAGATTGGTACTGAAGAGGCCAGGCAGGTTAAGGCTGGGGCTGCCTCTGGGTCTGAGGTCCAAGAAGCTCTAGACTTTGCCATCATTTCAGAGGAGCCAGTGGCTCATATGGCTATCACTTCAACAAGCCCGGTCCTAGAAATCAAGGTTTCTTCATCAGTAGTAGTCTCAGCAGCATCATCTAGGCTTGTTTTTAGTGGTGTTTCTAGCATGATTGCAAGCATGCTTCGAGCAGGCCTTCAGAGCTTAAGGGAGTTGCCTTTCAATGAGCTGGGCGAGGCTTTGGCCAAACTGAGGGAGTTTGCTGCAACAACTGCAGTTGGGGATGCACTGGAAGTCCATTCTCATTTTAATGCAACTCTAAATGAGTTGGAGAGCTAGCGGTCGGGAGTGCTGCAACAGGAGATGGAAATCAGCAAGGTAGCCTCCCTAGAGGAGTCAATCTTGCGTCATCACGAGAAGATAGGTTCCTGTACTGAGAAGATGACCGCTATGACTGACCATTAGCTAGATCTTAAGAGCGAGACGAGGGCTAGCTATAGGAGGATGGTCGTGATAAGAGAGGAGAAGCGCGTATTAAGGCAGGAATTCGCTGGTCTTCTGACAAAAATGATTCATAGACAAGCCTTAGAGGCCTCTTTGGTTGAAGTTATATCTGAACTCACTCGCACCATCGAGTCCGAAACTCTAGCAATGGAGGAGCAAACCCAAGTGGTGGTCGAACTGAAGGAACGTGTTCAGGATCCCGAGGCTTCTTTCGCAGCATGCAGGGCAGAGATCGGCAAGATAATTGATCATTTTTTAAAATGCATTTTTCTTTTGCCAACACTTGTAAACAGTTTGAATTTGTGAATAAATGCTTCTTTTTCTCTTGCGGCTATCTTTGCTGTATAACTTTATTCTCCCCTTACTTTGCTACACCTCATGTACTCTTTTCCGGGCTTGAACGCCTCTTGACATATCTATTGTCTCAATAGGCTAATACCCTAGGCCTTATTTAGTCCCGTGATGGGCTCTTGTGGCTTCAATGACTTCAAAGTGGGGATCCATTGCTTTTTATTCTTTTAGCATTTGATTGGCTAAGGGCTCATAACTCATTTTCCTCATTATTTGATAAGCATGTTCACCGTAAATAGTCCAATCAGGAGGGGCTTTGGCCTCCATTAGTGGTGCATTTACTTCAAACTCATCATAGCTTTTGATCTCAGGCACGAACTCCTTGAGATGTCTTGAAGCAATGCGCATAACCTCCAATTGGCTCTAGAGACTGTGAACTTCGCTCCTTAACTCTGCTAGGGAATCTTGCTCTTAAGGGGAAGAAGATTGTACTTTATCAAACTATTCTCCTCTCGACAAACTAGGAAAGTATAAAACTTGTGATTGGTCCATGATCTGAAGAGCATCCTCTTTGCTATAGCACCCGGCTTTTGAAAAATCTTTCACGATGGTTGGTGCGCAACTTTTGCTTTTAAGAGGGCAACAGGGATATGCAGGACTTTTTGATGGTCCGGCGTATAGGTAATCTTTGGAGCTTGGAATTGTATCCCCATGACTTGCTCAATGTCAAAAGGGATTACTAGTTCATCTTCTTGCACCAGTGGCTTAGAACTGGGGGTAGATGGCGAGAACTCTTCAAGTGAAGAAGGAGTTTCTTCAGGGGTGATTGTGGGGTGCTAGCAAGAATAGGGGTTTGAGGGAGAATTTTTCCCTGTCTTTCTTAGAGGGAGAATTTTGTCATGTATTTCTTGTTCTTTGAACATGTTTACCAATGTTCTCCCCACGTCCTCAACAACTTCATGAGGTGAAGATCCTGTTTTCATTATAGACTTGTGGTCCTCATTATTCGACCTCTGTGGTGATGCCAGATCTGTGAAGTAATACTTAGCATCAGCGTAGTGAGTTTCAGCTTTAGGAAACGGTCTTTTGTCAGCATAGATTGTATGTTATCTCTCATCTCCACTATACTTGAGGCACTGATGTAGCATCGATGGAACCACTCCCTAGACCGAGGAGAATGTTATAAGAAGTGTAAGTGTCGATTACATGAAACTGAGCGTAATCGTTCAGCTCACCGATCTTAAAATGTAGGCAAACTATGCCAGCTGGCTTTTCTCTTGACTGGTTGAACCCTTGAATTGTGACGTGGGTCGGAGTAAGATCTTCGGACCCTAACCCCAATCGAGTAAGGATCATCCTTTGGATAAGGTTGACTGCCGACCCTCCATTTAGCATAATTCGGTTGCCGGGGCATGCATGTAATTCGCCAGTGACAAAAAGAGGGCGATTATGAAACTTTTCACCTAATTGTAGATCGTCCTTCGAAAAGGTGATTGGCATACATCCTCCTAAAATCTTCGATTCCACTGCAATGGGTTCTACCTCAGTCTCGTACACCTCCGGGTTAGAGAGAGCCTGAACCAAAGCCATCTGGTAATCCTTTAAGAGCATAAGGGCATTGTAGATGCTGGGATGAGCTGGGAGCTTCTTCAGATGTCCTATCAAATCATATTTCACCTTTTCTTAGTCAAGGCTTTGTGGTCCTAGTCCTTCCACTGGCTTGGGTGGAAGAGGTTTATTTTGGCCTGCCGACGGGCTTGATTTGAGTGGTAGAGGTTTGAGGTTTTGGAAGCGATCGCGTCGAGGGTATCAGAGGTAATTGAAGGATAGGTGGATTGCTTGAGTTATTTGGATTAGAAAGGAGCCCCGAAAGCTGGAGTAAAGGCATATTGGTATTTGGATTAGAGAGAAATGGCAAACTAGGAAACTTCAAGATGCCCACCTTCTGCGGTGGAGGTTGCAGCATCTTCCCCGATCTGAGATTCATCTACCCCGTGCTGGGTGATGCTCCTAAGATTTGCACCATATGACAAGCCTTCTAAGAATAAAAACTCTGGCCCTTGATTCTTTCAGTCTTTGCTCAAAGCTGGGCTCAGGGGGCCACTGAGGTTTCTTTGGCTTCGACTTTTTGTGCTTCTTTAAAGAGGATGGTTGTGCTTTGGCTCAAGATTCCAGGGCATCAGCAACTGTTAAGAATCCTTCTTTCTGGGCCAGCGTCTTTTTCAACCGCTTTCGTTGCGTCCTACTAATGTTGATTCCTTCAAATCCTCTGTCAAGAGCCTCAAAGTCTGAACATATCAAGGTTGTCCCTGCAGAAGAAATAGAAGACGAAAGATGAGATGCAGAAGAAGAAGAAGGAGAAGGGTTAGAAAGTGGGGGACTTTTAAGGTTGTTCCCCTCATCAGACCAATCTGGGTAAATTTTTACGTCAACACCAGGATCGGACGTGTGCAAGGGTCTTTTAGGTATTTCCCTTGATTAGAGCATTGCGGAGTGCTTTTAATGTCATCACCCTCATTGGACGTGCACTCGGTGGAAGCTGACACAAGAATGTCCTCTTGATGAGAAAGAAGGAGGTCCGTGCCAGGGATAAAGTTCAATAGGTCGGCAATGGGGGAAGTGGCCTGAAAAATTCCTTCTCAACTGTGGGTTGAGCCGTCTTGTGTCTCTGGAGAGCAGCCCTTGGTGCTTCTTTCCTTCTGATTTTCTGAGATGGTGTTTTATTCGTCTTGCTAGGCTTGTGAACGACCTTAGCTTGGCGAACTGCTTCTCGCCTTAAGGACTTACGTCTGCTTCACCCGTGGTGGACTATCCATGGATGGGAAGTCAAGGGTTCAGCAGAGTCTGAATCATTATTAGGAGAGTCTTGTGCTAGGAGGTCCTCCTCTTACACTGATGGAGCAGTGGATTGGGGATCACTTACTGGGACGTTGTAAAACTCTTGACATTCCCGCATTTTCTTTGTGAATATATCATGGAAACTGATGCATTCCCATAGATAATGACCTCATATTTGGTGGTACGGGCACCAACGGTCCTCAGTCCCCTACGTAAGGCGTCGAGGCTACCTTGTGGGCTTCAGTGTGATTAGGCCTTCTTGAAGAATTATAACAAAGAAGGTGTGAAGGATACCATGCATTTCATCTTCCTCTTGGACTGTTACTGCATGGGAGGCTTCTGCTGCCTCGAAGGCCTTCTTTATATCTTCAAGATTTATTTGACCCTTCTAGATTTGGGTCTCGATAATATTTTTTTGTGTGTAGCAGTCATCTATGGGATGATTGATCCTTAGATGGTAAGCACAATAATTCTCCTGAGTGTCAAGGCCAGCTTGCTCAAGGAACTTGCCTTCTGGAAGCTGAATCATATTTTGTTCCAATAATAACCGGAATAGTGCAGCGCATTCCTTCTCAAAGGGGTAGACCTTGTTTCTATGCCTTGTGAAATAATCATCCCGATTAAGATTCATCGACGGGGGTACTCGATTATATAGTTGTTGTTGCTTGCCTCCCCGAGGCATTGTTTTCTCTATGCTCACCCCTTTGGAGAGGTCCAAAGTTTTGGAGGGAGCCTTCTTTGGATCAGTGACCGTGAAAGCTGCACTGATTACTCCTTTCTGTTGGCTGCCCCGTGTGTTGTTTCGAGAGCTACCATTGCCTCGGTTGTTCCCAAAGCTTGCAGGTTGTTGTCATGACCCGCCGTGGAGGCATGATAGACTCTCTATTGGGATTCATTTAAAGATCAGCTCTGACATGGAAGTCAGATTAGAAGCCTCAATATGTAGATTAATTTAGGTCACATGTTCTGAACACAAGTCTGAACTGCTTCCTTCTCAAGCATAGGATTAAGATGACGAGCAGCCAAATGTCTCCATCTTGATATGAACTGGTCCATGGGCTGATCGAGGTCTTGAGTCAGGGTGAGAAGTTCAATGGTTTGGACCTCTCTCTCGACCTCATAGAAGCATTGATAGAATAGTTTCTCCATCTCCTCCCATGTATGTATCGAATTCGGAGGGAGTCGAGCATACCATTGAAAAGCTGGGCAGTCAAGGGTCTCAACGAACTGACGGAGGAGGAGTCTCCCATCAGCCGTTGTTTCTCAGCACACTACCTGTAAGTGGGCTATATGCTGGTTCGAGGACATGGTTCCGTTAAATAGAGGAAACTTCCCTTTCTTGTAATCTGAGGGAAACGAGACCTGGTCAATATATGAAGGGTACGGCCATTGATAAGGCGTCGCACCTTGTATCCCTGGGATTTGTCTGTCCTTTAGGCTATGGGTGACCATAGCATCGACGTCTGCCTGTGAGACTGGATGAGGGATAGAATTGTCCATTGAGCCAGAAGGAAGGGGCTACCTTGGAGGTGCACCATCAGAGTGATGGGAATTGACCTCATGGTTAGTTGATTGGCGTGCGGTGTCTATGCGATCGATCTTTTTTATCATCACACGCACCATATCCTCAAACTTGTTCATGTGTGTCATCAGGCTTGTTTACAACCATTACGCTGACTATTTCTCTAGGGAGATCAGTGTTAGTTGCAGTTGAGGGCTTACGAACTTAATGGGTCATGCGTGGTAGATCGATCAGCAGGGTGCTAGCATGCCCCGACTGAACTCAACTCTTGTATGTCGATCGCATGAGGACCGGATCTCGAGGGTGTTGGGATCGTGGCTGCTGAGTGACTAGGTCATATTCTACGATACTAACCATAGTGCAGGGCTCATGGCCTTCTTCCTCATGCTTCGTGATCTGAAGAGGACAAAAGGGATTCAGGCGAAGAGGGTAGCCAGAGCTGATTGCCTTGATCTCCTTGGTCACTTCTTTAGTCAAAATTCACAGACCTGTGTCATGCTTAGCTTTGAGGCTTTGATGGACCTTGCACCAAAACTATGATCAGAACTGTGGCTGGTCAACTCTTCTTGAACAAGAGAGAGCTT